CGTCAACATGCCCAGCTGCACTGTCACAGTTAATGAAGAAATGTTGTGCCTTTAGGCCTAGCGATCGACCATCAATGCAGGACGTGAGAGCGGCATTGTTGCGCATAAATGCATCCTGAAATGCGCTCATATCTGGGTCGAAGATTTCAGATGGGGTTGATCACTTCATGTTTTTTTTGTGGTTTCGGTGATTTTGTTCTGCAAGTTTATTGTACATATTTCTACACACTACTCTTTGTGTGGGTGGTTTCTTATGAATCCACAAATTCACTTCTGTTCCGCAATATGTAGTCGCACACTTGCGGATGCACGCTGGATGCTTGTCTCAACTTTGGTACGCGTTCGACAAGAAACTTAGCTCTCATGTGTGCTGCCGCCTTTGGTGATGCTCGCACCCTGACGTCAGATGTGAGGTGTTTGCTTGCCTCCTTCTGTTGCCGCCTGGCTGTGCAGTAGTCAGGAGCAGAATCCGCCTGAGCAACCAAATGCCCTGTTGCTCCGAAATTTCTGCCTTACCGGTCTCCGGAGCCCACCCAGTCATGTACGCCCATGACAAACGCTTACAAACTCACCAAAATCCAATGTACTGTACCCGAGGTCCCCATCCGTCAAGTTTGCCCTTCGCTTTGCTAGTACTTAACGCCGCTCAGCGAGTGACCCCATGAGTCAGTTCCTAATCCCGTTCTTCACTCCCCTCACTCCCTCACCATCCCTCAACTAAATCGAAGACCACTCTCTAGGGCGGGAGGGTCGGGTGCGAAACAGGATCAGGAGGGGGGCCGGGGGGGGAGCCTAAATGGCCGCCCCCCCTTAAGCCCCCCCAAAGCCCGCCAAACCCGAGGGCGAGAAGGCTGGCGGCATCTTGTATTTTCGTACTTTGACTGACCCACAGTACTAGGGTCAGAAATCCCAAGGGACGGGGTTGAGTAAACTCCAGGTTCAAGCTGCGCCGTTTGAATCACCTGCGCAGCCCCACCCCTCCTTTGGCAGAAACCCATTAACAGGATGATTAACTTCATTTCTGGTGCTCCAATGTTGCTGTCAGTGAATCACTTGCCCACGGTGATGCGAGCCCTGCAGACCACAAGTTCTACATACTCGCCAGTGTGTGTCCAGCATGGAGGTTCAGCCATGGTTATGGGCGATGCAGTAGACCAGGTCAGCTTCAAAAGGGACGCCCGCTAATCTCTTGGCAGACACAGACAAGGTCTTCTGGTGTACCCTGCAGACGGCATGTGACAAGGCATGTCTGAATCTTTGTTGCACTGTGACAATACTGCAATAATACAAAAGATGTCTTGCGCAGTACCATGGATTGGAATGTATGCATGGATGTTGCTTCTCGCTTATTGGACCAACACCATCTGAACACATGCGCAACTTGAATTGAGAGTTGTTCTTGCAAAGGAGCTGGTTCCATCCGTCAGCTTGGAGAAGCCAGAACATCAGAGCGCAAGTTTCCTTTACATCGGCATCCTCCTTTGAATGTAGGCAAGGTGTTGCTTCGCTATTATTGTAGAAGAGGAAAGCAAACATCCGGGACACTGCTCCAACACAACTGAAGGGAAGTGCATTCTGGTCCCACAAGTCTCTGACGGTACCCTTTCTAGTCCCAGTTCTGTATTTGGCTTTGGGGTGGGTCCGGACGCTCATCAGTGCATCTTGCGCTGAACCCTGCAAAAGTCTGTTTTTCTGCACAACCTGTTCCTTGTGATGCTGCACGCCTAGCAGACATGTCAGTCGAGAAAACCACTCGAGATATTTTTATCTTGCGGGCTATCATGCTCAAATTGCCAACGTTGAGGAATGAGGGGCTGCTGCCCGGCGGAATTGGGTAGGCGGAGAACGCTTGCACTCTCGCGTGCCCACCTCCCCTGCCAGTGCATTACTTGGAATGCATGGTCCCCATGGGCTTTTTGCGTCACTGTCCGCCATTCGTATTTTATTATAGTTGTTTGCATTCACACACAACACATACATACAGAAAGTGGTCTGCCGGTCTTTTGGCCCCTGACTCAGAACCAGGGAGCCGTGATTGATTCTGGATTCGCGTACGGTCTCCGCGTTTCCATCCTGCCAATCAAATTGCCATGGGTGAAACACCCAGTCATACAACTTTAACGCATGAGGATTTACAGCGAATGCTTCGCTCAGTCATCACCAAACCCCTGTGAGGCTCAAATTTCTCCCATCATCTAAATCAACTTTTGATGCCAAACGAGACTTAAAATTGCTGGCGTTTATCTCTGTACACAAGCGCAAGAACAAGCTCTTTCCTCATTTTTCTTTTGTTCCATTTGCGATTCTCTCACTAATACACCATCTATTTCCGCCTGGCCGGACTCCTTGTCCCACCCAGGTCCACACACACACTGGACCAATACATTACACGACACTATTTGTCCCAATACAACCCGAGGTACCCACAACTTTGTGTGCCCAATCGCTTCGCTAGTAGTTAAGCCAGTCCCATACAAGACTTAACCCTTGAGTCAGACCCACCACTCCCGTTCCAATGTCCTTAACTCCCACACTTGCCCATCTCAACCGAGCATCACCCTAATAGGGGGGGCTGGGCGCGAAGCGAAACAAGATAAGGTGGGGACCGAGGGGTGAGCCTAAGTAGCCTCCCCGCTCGCGCCCGCCAAAACCCGCCGCTCCCAAGGGCGCCAAAAACCATTGGCCCTCCTTGAACGCGACGAGCCAGCCACTGACCCAAGGTACAGGGGGACAGAAACCCCAAGGGGCCGCCAAAACCATCGTACTTTAAGCAGCGCTGGCCCAAGTGGGCCAGCGCGCCCGCCCCTCGTCGCCCTGGGCGGAAACCCCTTAACAAGATAGTTAATCCCATTTATGTATTTCATCAGTGGTGAACTTTTTTCTGGCACACACGTGCCATGGATACCATCTCTGGCATCCGTCTCGTGGCTATAGCTTCTCGACTGCAGGTACAACAATGGATTATTTTTGCCACCGCATGGGCGCTTGCTGGTGGATTCACACATCGGGACAGGGTTCGAGAGACTGCGAATGAAAGTGCAGCCCGTCAGTGCCATGGACCCGCAATATTTCAAGGATAACAGCATGTTGGCGCAGTTGTTGCTGGATCATCTCCTCTGGCAATATTTCTTATTCCACACCGCGCTGGTTGGTGTTCAGAAGTGCTGATTCTGCAACGCTGACGTTGGGGATTGACACCAAATTTCTTTCCAGTTTCTTCACGATGTGACGGAGACCGGCACCATTTCCTGGAGGCCCTTAGTGAATATTTTGGGGAAACACATCATGAGCTCAGAAGGGTTTGCACACCTGGCAACTTATGTGCAGAGCATCAAGAAATTTGGGACAAGCAGCCAGATGGTACACCATGGGGGCGGACGGCATAAACTTTAGACAATGGAGTGAAAACTTTGGCTTACGATTTTATGTACATTTTTGTGCCTTTTCTTAGTTTTGATTGAATGTTCTGTACAGATCACTTGCATTTTGGTTAGCCAAATCGAGCGAAAGGTTGTCAAGGCCGAGAAAAACGGTCCCACATCTTGTGAATGGGCACAGACATTGGACTGCAAGGGACACGGGCTTTGCTGCAAGGCACCCCGCGATCGCGCAGCCGATTCATTGGTGATCCGCTCAGTACAGCGATGGTCACCGCGGGGCCAGCCACGCACAGGTGGCGGCCGTGCGGGCAGTCCGTCGTCGGCATAAAATTACTGGCTGCACCAAATCGGTGACTGCTTGCACCAAAAGTCACGTGCACATCATGTCCAACTCCGTCAAAACTAACCTAACCTAAAACCTAAACCCTAAAACCTAAACCCTAAAACCTAAACCCTAAAACCTAAACCTAAACCTGTCCTAAACCTAACCCTAACCCTAAAATTGAGGTTAGGACAAAGTGTGCACGTGACTTGGTGCAAGCAGTCACCGATTTGGTGCAGGCAGTAATATTATTTCTCCGTCGTCCACTATAATGACCTGATCTGTTCATCAGCACAAATTCCCCATGGCAATCGTCAACACAAGGCCCCAGGCGCCCCAGCGGCACCCTCGGCGCCAGCCCATGCCCTGTCCGCGCGAAGACGAACCGCCTTGTTGCCAATCGGTTTGCGGTCAACAGACGACTTGGGGCCACACAAAGCATCGCGCAGGGGTCCATACTGCAGAAACCCGGCGTTGCTGGCAAATGCCGCGAAGCCCTGTGCCCCGACGGGCAGCGCCGTTGGGGCAAATGGGACCCCGGAGCTGCCCCTGACGGCAGCCTCGGTATTGGCAGCCCTGCTTGGACCGCACCTAATCACGCGGTAAGCTGATCAGATCCGCAGGAGCGCTTGCGGCTGAAACGCCGCCGGCCTCGGTGTGGTTTCGGACCCATCTGGGACGGAAGCGTCTGCTGGAAACCGTTGGTAGCGTTGAATGTGACAGGCACATTTGCACTCCAGGCTTGATGCACCATTCGCAGACCGTTTTATCGGCCGTATCGATACCCTTACGCAGAATATTCAATCGCCCTGGTGTCGCGATGAACTTTTTGGGTCCCGGCGTTGCGAGGAAGGCGGTAGGAGCTGCCGCCCGTTCTGCTTCCATGTAGCTTCGCTTAATGATCGGGAGATCGTGAGAACTGCCGCGCTGGAAACCCGGTATTTCGACTCTATGAATATTCCCGGATTTTGCTGCCCACCCATCTTTAGAAACACGGTGACTGGTCATTTTTAATTGAGTGGATCAAGCTGTGGCCCAGTGGGCAACCCTGGGTTGGTGCATAACGACAAGAGCTCCAACCCAAAATGCTTGTGGAATACCGTAAACAGGAAAAGGTCCCTTCTTGCTTATGCATGCCTTGCAAAGTCAGCCGTTTCCTGGGCACTGTATTTGCTGTGGTGGAAGGGCATCGAGGGGCGCCAGTGGACTGCCAACTGGTTGGTCTTTTGTGCACACCCGGCTGTTTCTTTGTGTAGCTTACTCGTGGGTGTTGGTTGGCAGGTGTGCACCTCTGAGCAATGAAAGAAGATTGGAAACATGAAATCAGTCGTCTGCAGAGTCTGCTTGGCAATGTTGAGCACAACCGCTCGATTCTGAGCTTGCTGCAGGAGCGGCTGGACATGCTCGATCATGCCCTAAATCTGTCCACCAGCACAGCTGGCGAACTCGATGTTGGCTTGGTGGCCCAGATTGATTCAGTTTTGAATGACTGCTTGGCACTGGTCCAAGAGCACACTGACTTGTGCGGTAAGAGTTGGCTAGTGCAGATGAAGGCATACTGTTCACACCTAAAGAGCCGGGTGGTGGCAAACAGAGTGCAATTGTTGAACAAACGGTTGGAGATGTGTGCTCGCACTTTGCAGGCACTTTGCCCACAAGAGACCACTGGGCCAACATGTGCTGAGGGTGGTGACGATGGGCTGCATGGTGACTGCAGTAGGTCTGCAATAGAGCAGGTAGAAGAGATAACGGTGGAGATGGAGGAGAACTGCAATGGTCTGTTCTTCCTTCAAAAGCTGAGGGGACAGGTAGGGCATGAGACTGAGGTGGCAGAATTGGAGTCTGGCTTGCAGAAGCTTGAGACACAGTTGAGTTGGAGCCTGAGCATAATTGAATGGTCTGACGATGGTCAGCGTCGGGAGGTTGGCACTGGACGGCTTGGTCGGGTGTACCATGGCAAGTTCAAAGGACAGGATGTTGCCGTGAAGGAGCTCCCCAGAGGCAACGTTCTGGAGCGCGCTGAGAACATTGCGGAGTTTGGCAGTGAGAATGCATTCCGCATCAGTCTCCAGCACAAGAACGTGCTCCAAGTGTTGGGTGCAAACCATCGCATAGAGCCGCCTTTCATCGTCATGGAGTGGGCAGAGAAAGGTAGCCTGCACTCGTTTGACACCACATCATTGTCGTGGAGTGACAAGGTGGAGCTGTCGTTGCAAGCGGCAAGGGGCTTGAACTATCTGCACATGATGCAAAGAACCCACCATGACCTGGCAAGTGAGCATGTGCTGGTTGGGGCTGACCCAGAGACCACCAGCGGCTATTCAGTAAAGATCGCGGGCCTGGGCATGACATCCACAAGGAACACGACAACATGCCTAACAAACTGGCGGAGAAGTGGAGCGTCTCCGCTGGCCCCTCCAGAGTTCTCTGCTGGAGAGACAAAGGGACGCAGGACTGATGTTTTTCAGTTCGGGGTTGTACTGTACGAGCTAGCTGGCACGCGCCCGACTGTTGAACGTGCTGTGGAGCTCACCAAGGAGTGCTTGGAGAAACACTTTTGCGTGCCCATAGACTGCCCTGCTGGTTTGAAGGAGATCATGGCAGAGTGCTGTTCGGCCGATCCTTTCAGAAGACCGACCATGATGCAGGCTGAGATACGTTTGGATGCTCTGTTTTACAGTCTTCTTGACGTTGAACAGGTGTGTGCACCCATCTTTTTCCTGCATGTTGCAGTCATGTACTGGGCTTCAGGTGGGTGTGCATGTACAGACTGTCAAACTATCCAATGTGAAGCTCAGGGACAGCAAGGTTCCAGGAGGATGGCCAGCATGAGAAGCAAGAATGCATTGTAGAGTTGCATTGGAAAAAGAAATGTAAATACCGGCCAACAGGCAGACAGGAGATTCCAATCAAGGGGAATACTGAGAGGAACATCGCACACACTTTTCAGGATGTGCTGCCATTGGCTGCATGGTTGTTTCTGGGGACCTGCTGCGTTTCATCAAAATTTGTTCTGTAAGTTCACTGTGCATTGTATGCTGCACCGTTAAGTACAGGCCAGCCAAGCAGTGCAACAATGTTGAGCCGGGTCGTTCTCCATTGAATGCAGTATTGAGCAATGTGTGTTTCTCTGGCAGGCCATCCGCCATGATTCAAAGCGGCTCCAGTCCAAGGTGTCTGAATGCGAGCTGCACTGTGAAGATGTCATATATAACCATAACATCATGAAATTTCTGCTTGAGCAGATGGTGCAGCTGCCAAGTGCCACCCTTCCAAAAGCACCAGTATTGCATGAATGGAAGGAGTCATACAACCGTTTGCTGGCTGAGGCAGTCAGACCAGCGAAGAAGATGATCTGTAGGCATGGGAAGTTCGATCTGGAGAGGTACTACAAGGTTGATGCTGCCAAAACCTGTGCGGAAATATGCTGCGACCAGATCAAGATGTTTGCTGCACGTTGGGAGCTGAATGTCGAGATTTCTTGCACTGTACCCGAGAAATTCTTGAAGGAGGACAAAGCGTTTTGGAATGCTTGCCTGGCTTTCGTTGTGGAAGGCGGAGACTTGCTGCTGGAGGGAGTTGCAGCATCAAAGCGCGAGGCAGTGCTGCACAAGTGGGGCCAGGCCAAATCACAGCATGAAAAACACATGTCCAAATTGAGAGTGGTATCTGATCGGGAGGTAACAGTAGGCCACGAAATTGGTGTAGGGCAGTTTCCTGTCTATGATGGTGAGCTATCAGGGTGCGGTGTTGCCATCAAGAAATGCACATCAGGTGATAGGGCTCTGGGTCACGAGGACCTGTTGAAATTCATGAATGAGGCTTACACCCAGGCATCGCTGGATCACGATCACTGTGCGAATTTGATCGCAGTCACCAAGTCGGGCTGGATGATCATGGAATTGGCCCAGTGCAATTTGCAGCAGTGGTATAGGAAGATGACCCTAGACTTGGAAGCAAAGATCAGAATACTGCTGCAATCGGCAACAGGGCTGGAGCACATGCACAGTAGAAGCCCACCTGTGACGCACTGTGACGTCAAGACTACCAACATTCTGATTTTTGAGTGCCAGGAAGACCCGTCAAGGTGCGTTGCAAAGATTGCTGATTTTGGGCTGTCGAAGGCCTTCGGGGAGACAGCAAAGACGACGGAGAGGGAGCACGGCGGGACGCTTCTGTACAGGGCGCCGGAGTTGTTGGATGGGCAACGCCCCTCCGTTGAAGCCGATGTTTTCAGCTTTGGCGTTGTCATGTACGAGCTGATTTCTCAAGATCAACCATATGGCTATGTGAGGACGGACGTCGGCTTGATAGGGAAGAAAATACATGCGGAAGCTCCTTGCAGGATCCCTCCAAATTGCCCACCTGCATTGTCGCATTTGATGGACAGGTGCTGTGCCTTCAGGCCTGGAGCCCGACCATCAATGCAGGAAGTGAAAGCTGCCTTGTTGCACATGAGTGCACCATGAATTGTGTGCTTTGCTAGCTCAGAAATTTTAGCCCTGACAGTGACAGCAGCGCTTCTTTTCAGAATCATTTTTGGCATCTGCATGCACTGCTTTTTGCCGTGTCTTAGTGGTAATGGAATGGCTCGACTGACGATTTCGGCTGTGTTGCTGTGAGTGTGTGGATGTGGTGTATAACTTGCTGTCCCCAGGCCCAAGACAAAGAAAGGAATCGGCACACTGTTGACTAGAAACCGGGTTTTCACCCTTGGGTTTCGCCTGCATAGTGCATATTTGAAATATTTAGCTAATTTTCTGCTTCTGACGCCAGGCTGTGCAGCACAAAGCAGCTGAATCCGCCTCAGCTATTGCAGTCTTCTTTTCTCATCCACAATAAGCTGCCTCATCGTGGCATGAGAAGTAATAGTCCACAGTGTCTGCCCATTTTCTGCCTGGATGGGCTCCTTGTCCCACCCAGGTCCACACACACACACTGGACCAATACATTACAACGACCACATTGTTTGTCCCAATACAACCCGAGGTATCCACAACTTGTGTGGCCAGTCGCTTCGCTAGTAGTTAATCCAGACCCAGTAGTTAAGCCAGACCCAACCGTTGAGTCAGCCCCGCAACTCTTCGTTCCCTCGTACTTAGGTCCCACACTTTCCACCATTCAACCGAACATCACCCTAATAGGGAGGGCCAGGCGGGAAGCAAGACAAGATAGAGTGGGGACTGAGGGGAGAGCCTAAATGACCTCCCCCGCTCGTGCCCGCCAAAGCCCGTCACTCCCAAGAGCGCCAAAAACCCCTGGCCCTCCTTGAACGAGACGAACCGGCCACTGACCTAAGGTGCAAGGGGACAGAAACCCGGGGGCCGCCAAAACCAGAGTGCTTTAAGCAGCGCTGACACCGTCGGAGCCAGCGCGCCCGCCCCACGTCGCCCTTGGCGGAAACGCGTTAACAAGATAGTTGATTCCATTTATGCCATGCAAATTGGGGATGCCAACTCATCCATGGAGTTCGGCGATTCAAAAGGCCAGAAGGGTGCAGAAACATCACCAGTGTACAGTTGAACAGCTGTCCCAGCAGCTCTCAGACAAAGTCTTGCAATATGATTGCATAAACCAGTGGGAGAGGTTTGCCAGACCGTCTGCTGATTCAAGGCTCTTCCTTTTTACTGCGGTTCTGTTGCAAGTGCGGTGTTTCATGGGGTTCGTGATCTCGACCCCCTGTCCTCCTAGCGTCCAATGCTTCCCCTGTTGGGGAATGTACTGAAAGCACATTGAGACCCCAGGTAAATGTTTGGGCGATGCAAGTGGCTTACACGACATGGCAGATGCAGCTGTCTTGGTGTCTGACTCTCATACCTGCAATCTGTCTCAAAGTTCTGTCTCAACTTTTCTTATTGAGTTTGATAGCGCACTAAGTCTTTGGCCAAAGAACCCCAGTTATGTCAAGTGGGAAACTCGAAGCGAAACATCAACAAAAGGCGACTACCATTCACACCCCCCAAAGGGATGATCTCAGATGCCATGATTTCGATTCAATCGTTGGATTACAAATGGGTAATTGATGGAACTAGCTCAGTCGTCAAGGGGCGGCACTCAGAACAATAACTCTAGCCAAATCTCTGGTCGGCAGGACCATTGTGCGACATACGTCCCACATGGGACACACGTGTTCATCAGCATGGTTGCACTCCAAATAAATAACATGTGGTCATAATTTTCGCATGCTACATATGGAAGCAAAAACCAGGGTCAGATGCTTCGATGGAAACTGCAAGTTTTGGGAAAGTTTCAGGCAGCGGGAAGCGCACCACATTGCGATGAGGTTTGAAAGCGCCTGCACTTCACTAGCAGACTGTTAAAGGAGGAGCATAAGTTATCAACGCTGTTTTCATGTACAGTGGGCTGAAGACTCAGGGCTAATTTTATTTCCTTGCACCTACTTTCCCAAAGGGTGTTTTGGAGTGTTTGCTGCATCATTAATCCAGAATGATTATAGAAAACCCCAAACGGCCAACATTCATTAATCACCCTCCCGCTTACCGGCACCGCCGCACCCACGAGCACCATGATCACGAACACGAGGATGCGTTCCACTTAAATGCAGCCTGATGACATCCATTGCCGTCATTCATCTGAAAGCAGCGTGGTGGCGTGTCTGTTGCACAAGACAAGCCTGGGCACAATAGAATTACCCCACCAGTGCTGGGCGGTGCTGGGCCAGCACCCCTCTCATGCGTTCCTCCACTGTAGCGCTGTCTCCAGCAGACTTTTGTGGGATCAATGGAGCCCACATGCACGGGGGTTGTGGACATGTCATGGACTCATATTGCACTGAAAACCGGAATCCGCATGGCTGGGCAATGCGCGAAACTGGGACCGTTCCTGCCTGGCACAGTAGCCCCACACGCGCCCGTGCATATTCCTGGGGGCCGCCCAGGCTGGCTGCCCAGGTTGGCTGCCCCGGTTGCATTCAAGTTGACTGCTTTGTGCGGGAAACCCTGCGGCGTTCCCGCACGTCCTAGTGATTTAACGGCGTTGTCAGGAGGGGATCCCGCACTTGCAATATCCTGGTGCCGCACCCCACTGCAGTTGAGGCACAACATCAACAACATCGCGCTAACCTCTTCGCCAACAAAACAATCGAGCAGCTGTTGAGGCGCCCTGTTCAGGCATGCCCTATGCCGCGCTTAGCGCGCATTTAGCACTCGCCAGGTCTTTGTCACCGTCAGCACCTTCCATACAACTGGGTTCCGCAATGTGGAAGCCGCGTTGTATGCAGAATCCATTTGCCCTTCTTGTTGACAATTCGCAATCGATCAGATACCGCAAGCCAACGCAGCTCCACCGTTGTTGTGGTGGTGTCCCGCAATACGGAGCTGCAGTCAATAAGCAGGCACGTGCCTGTGTGCACTGAGGCCGACGCCGGCAGCGTTCGGACACACCGACGCGACAAAGCACCTGTTCGTCGTGTGATGCGCTGGAGCACAGGGCGTGCTGTGTGACGTCTAGCCGCACGGCACGTACCACAGCGACATTCGCCAGGATTTCCCAGCCAGTCGAGAAACGTGATGTGCGTCAGCGCGGAGGAAGGCGACAGATCCAGGCGGACAGGCATCACCGCCGGAGCCACAGAGGCCAATAATATTTGTAGTTGACTAAGACCCCCAAGGGGCTACGATGAATCTACACGGTCTGACACAGCAACGGGGCGCATAGCCGCTGTCCTGCACCCGAACAACTGCCGTAGATCACAGAGCATAGCGGCTCACCCCCCTCTGCGCTCAGCATCAGGACTGGCGTCAAGAACGGTACTATCTTGCATACCCGCCCGCTATCTGACATGCCCCCCGCGTACCGCATCAATTCGATGAATAAACAAAGCCACCGCGTTGCTATGTTGATCACCAGACCAATTTAGCACATCAAATGCCATTCTAAAACAGGACGCCAATCGTAATAAAATTGGGAGGACGTCACCATGACAATTTCGCGACTTCCTGCACTACGTCGCTGCATATTTTGATATAATTATGATGTACCGTCGAGGGAGATGCATCCCGCCGCGCCATCTAACACACACACCGCGCTCTGCACCAGTGGCCATATTCAATAACGCGGGGGGCGCTATCTAATGTTTACCGCGCTATTCAACACCCCCGGCACTATACAGTGCCGCAACGCAACTTGAGTACCGTACTAAACTATATATTGCCCCAATGCAACTTGAGTACCATAGGTCACGGAAGATATATCGTCCGTGACCTACGGTACTCAAGTTGCGTTAGGGTGGATCTGTTTAATAACAGTGCAGTTCCTGGGGTCCAAGTTTCCCTGGTGACCTGGCAGGATCGACATGACCTCCCGAACTGGCTGCCTTGCATCGGCGGTGCCCCGCATGGGGGGCTGGTGCATGCTCTGATACAACAAACGGTGGGTGTGGCTCGCTGCACTGACTGGGCCCTCGAAGAGAAACCTGTGTGGGAGCAGTTCTCAGCTGTGCGCAGGCCCGACGCTCTGTGTGCCTTGGTTGGAAAGTCCTTGAAACGGTGTCAGCATTGAGTGCTGTTTGCGCAGCGCAACGCCGCATGGGCTTCGTGCTGCTGGTGGAAGGGTACTTAAGGGGTCGGTCTACCCTCTTCCTTACACCAGGCCTGGTGGTATTGGCAGAGCAGAGGGAAATCCCATCAGGGGTGCCTGGTTCGATCCCCGGTCAGACATCCTCTTTGCCATCCACACTAAGAGAACCTCGTATCGACGGGATGGCGACAACGATACCCCCGTGCTGCCTGAATCATTACCTCCTTGAATTTGTGGAAGACCCGCCTTGCCGCAGTAGTCGTCCATTGGCCGCGTGCCCCAGCCACTCACCCAAACCCATCCTTCAGCCCGCCCAATCCCACCAATCTGCGCGATGCCTTTGCGGTTCTCCAAACCTACCGGTCCGCGCATTCCATCGCGAGAGGGATGACGCAAGGAGCTATGACATTGAGCATGAACGTGGCTGGGCGATGGTTAGCTGAGGTGGATCCATGTTCCAGCTCTGAAGTACTTCACTATACATTGTCAGTACACCAACTCGGCAGGCTATGGTCTAGCAACCGTTGTTTGGTCGGGCTGTGCTATTGACGTGCCGTAGTCTGGTCGGGCTCATGCCGTTGATGGCCGTTGGTGTGGCAATGGATGCAACGATTGCCAGTAATTGTGGATTTGGCGTCATTGGATACCGCCCACAACGTTTCCACGTGCCCCGGTGCCAGCGTGTCCTGCGAACTGTCAATATTGTCGCGCCAGGCACAGTGAATGGTCTTGGATTTCCATTGTTGTCATATTTTTGTAGTTGTAGCCACGCTTCCCTGCCGCTCCCCAGGCCCCAATTTCCGCCAATTCATGGTTATTTTACGGATGGTAACACGGACGGCTAAATGGAAGCCGTCAGCGCCGAGCTCTATGCTGAATGGAGTGGCGGATTGAAGCGTAGAAAGATGGAGATGGAGGGTAGGGGAAAGGA